AAATGTGATTCAAAAATGGAGTCGTGCTAGTATTTTTTTATTTTTGTTTTTATTTTTTTTTTATTGTAGTGTCGCTTTCCTCATAGGATATAGCCTAATTTTTTGTGCATAGTATTGCTACCCTCCGGTGACCTAATTATTTTATTTTATTTTATTTATTATTATTATTATTATTATTATTATTATTTTAGTGTTGGTACAAGGAGTGGAAGACTTAATTTTTATTTATTTTTATTACTGAAGTGTTGCTATAGGTTGGGAGACTTAATTTTTGTTATATAAGTATTGCTACAAGGGCTAAAAGACTTAATTTTTATTTGTGTTATTATTTAAGTGTCGCTACAAAGAGTGAGAAACTTAATTTTTATTATTATGTAAGTGTTGTAGTGGTTAGGCGACTTGTGTTTTTGTTTTTTCTAAGTGTGGCTTTAAAAATTATCCATAATATCCAAGTAATGATATGCAAAATAAAAGTCACAATTTGATTCATAATATCCTAATAATGAATCTTTAAAATAAATAAAAAATACAACACAAATTAAAATAATTAGAAATAATAATTATTTGTAATAAAAAAATCATGTTTTTACCACTGTATCTTACAAATAAACGTACACAACTTATAATACTGGTATAAAGGACCAAAACATTATTTTAAAAATAGAAAATGGGCAGGGGACTAGCAACTAACAACACTAGAAAAAGAAGAAAAACACAGATTTCCCAATGAGGATAATAACACTAAAAACAAAAAGGTTTTCCAAAGGGGATAGCAAGACTTAAAAAAATTATAAAAACATAATGGCACTTACATAATAAAAAATAAAAAAATAATAATTAAGTTCCCAATCCTTGCAACGACACTTATATAATAAGAAAATTAAAATTAAGTCCCCAAATCCTATAATAACACTTAAATAATAATTATAATAAATTAAATTAAATCTTCAATCCTTGTAGAGACACTATGCAAAAAAAATATAAAAAAAAATACCCCTTTAAAGTAAGAACACTATAAGAAAAAAAAAACAACTTAACTCCATTTCTGAGTCACATTTAAATTATTATTAAAATAAAAAGATAATATGATAGAAAGTGATATCATGTTAATCAAAGACACTCTTATTGATCACTATTTTCAAAAATAATTTGAAAACAACCCTATTCAACCATTTAAGTAATAAATTTCCATAGACTCTTCAGGATTAAAAAGTTCAGTATTTTCTTTTGAAAAATATTGTAGTAAAAATTAAAAATATGCTATTAATAAAGAAAAATGATAGAACTTCTGAAAACATCTTCCGAAATTCATTATGAACGATTAATATAATAATTTAAATTATAAAATATTAAATTAAATAATTATTTTATAATAAATTTATTAAAAATAATAATATTTTAATATTTGAAACGTGATTCGGAAAACAGTGTATCATTGCTCATTAATAAAATAAAAGATGATTTGATAAGTGGATGGAAGTCTGAATTGTGAAACCCCCGTGTTGTTTGAAAAATGTTATCTAGAAAGTAGACATGATATTATGTCGTGCACACGCGTCCTGCACTGCCGTAAAAAATGCTGATCACAAGGGTCCCATCTCCAGCCTGGAATGTGAAATTGACCAACTTACACACAAACTAAACTAATACAAATAAGTAATAACTGTACGGTACTCAATCACTACCCTAAACAAAACTTGCATGTCATGGACCCAAAACCAATCCAATTAAATTTCCTTCCTATTCCCAATATAGTATTCACAAACACAAGCTAGCTACAACTCAAATTTTTTAGCCCCTAAACTTTCCCATATTCTTCTTTTTGGCCTTTTTCAAACAAACAATATCTGTCCTAAGCTTCTAAACTTGCTAATTATTTACTCATTTTTATCCTAGTTTGAGCGCGGATCATTCATTCCCAATGTAAAGGGATCCACAGCCTTAAAGCTAAAACACGAAGATACATCTAAAATCAAAATATCAATTGGAATTGTGAAGTCTGCGACACGACACCCTGCACTCAACCTCGTAAATGGTCACATTTGCGCTCGAAAAAATACCCGACGTTTAAAACTCCAATTCATTTTAGTCTCTTTACACCGTAAGGCTCAATATACATCTTCATTTACTAACCAACTAGGTCACAGCCCATTTGTTCATTTGATCAATTATTGCAAGCATTGTGTTACTTATGTGGAAATAATCGCAGATATAAAAACATACATTACAAACAAGTCATTTTCTAAGCTTGCATTTATAACAACATTCACAGTGAACAAGATTAAAAAAAAAAAAAATATTAACACAACAGACACACAAAGAATAGGTCAACCATAACGAAAATCTTTGTCTTTACCCGGAATAGTGTCTCTACCCGTGGTGTGTTAGGTTATTTAATAACGAGGATAACGTAGTCCAAAGTCCAAAGGTCTCGTTATTCTCAACAGCACCTTTTTGGTTCCTTGTTTGTTCCCTCACCTACAATCCTATACGGCTATACCTATTCCTACATAGACCAATACCACAGACCATTGTCTTATTACTCTAGCAGGACGTGATGTGAATGATTTGATGTATGTGACCCCCCAACACCGTTTCCCCTTTCCCTTGCCATTCGTCAAATCATATCTCTCTTTGACCCTACCCCCACTCGTATCTTTTCCCTCCTAAATTTCTCTTTCGTTTCCATTACGTGGCACTAACCCGTCATGCCCACGTCACTCACTTCCCTCACACCCATTTACAGTAATATCCCTCCATGATTCCAGATCTAAGAGTGGGCCCACTTGTCGTTTACGTGGCTCACCCCGCTGCCCTGTTAGGCCCAATCACCCAAAAACTCCCCCTTTCAAGTTTCAAGCCCAATGCTTCCCTGACCCATGCCGTACTTTCGCCAGCAGGAGTGATATAAACACGGTTCAAACAAACGTTGCAGTATTGAACCAAACACAAGTCATTAGATCCTCAATTATTAGGGCAAGAGCATCATCATTCAATCAATACAAGTTAAAACTATGGCACAATAATAAATTAAAAATTATAATGAACACTTGATAAAAGTTATCAGGATATAAATATGAAAAACCACAAAGTAAGTAACCTCTTTCACTGACAAAAGATACCCCAGAAAAGAAGACATATATATTATAATGTATCTGTAACAATAATAATAACAACAATTTATAATATATGAATATGAATATGATATATGATATATATATAATGGCGGGGCCCGGGACCGGGTTGGAAGTTGCGGTGTTACGTTATCTAGCGCTGGGGTACATCGGGAGTAGAGGGTCGGGGCCGTTTATTTGGCGGCTCGGCTTGTTGGTGGGTTGAGGCAGCGAAATTTCTGTCGGAAGGGGTGTCACAGCTGGCACAGGTGGCGGCGTCGAGGACGCCGACGGGGCTTGACGGCGACGTGGGTTCGGCTATTGTGGGTTTGATGGTGGAAGTGGATGCGAGACACGTGTCCAGCACGTACTCCTCCATTAGTTGGTGACAGCATCTCACCATTTCCTGTCCCCGAAGAACAAAGATTCATTGCAAAAATAATAAACAAACAACCAAACAGCCTCGTCATCACCCAATAAGTCTGTAACACACACACACACACACACCTCAATTAATAATGATGAAGAAGAAAGAAATGGAATAAATTACTTGGTTTAGTCTGTGATGAAAAGAGAGCGGCAATTGTTGGGCGTTATAACCGGCGGAGCAGAGGACGGCGGCGGCAGCGACGGTGGAGGGCGCAAAGGCCAAGAAGTGATGCACTGGCAGAATTGAAAAAAGACGTTGAAGGAAAAGTAAAAGGAAAAAGAATAGGATGGGAGTTAGAGGTATGTAGTATGTACCACGGGTGGTGCTGAGAATGAGGTTGGAGGCAGTGGAGAAGTGATCGATGGTAGAAGATGAGGAGGGGAGGTTGGAGATGAAATAATGAAGGTAATCGAAGGGCGTAACGGAGCGGAGTCTCCATTTGAGATGAGTCATGACCCAAAGCTCCATTCTTTGGACTGTTTTGGGGTGGAAGATGAAGGTGGGGTGGAACAATTGGAGGTCCAGTAAGAAGGGGACATGAGACTCTTCCATTTTGGCAGCGAGAGAGAGGCATGCGACGGATAGAAGCTGAAACGCCCACCCACTCTCACTCGGAAGAGAACAGCACGAGAGGAAACGGTCCAAATAGTTGACGGAGAGAAACGCCGTCACGGGACGGAACTCGTAGAATGCCTGCACCTGCATTGCCCAACACTTGTTAAACATCCAGTTAAGATCCAATTCTAACGCTACAGGCCGCCCTACCTTTAAGATCCAGTTCACGGCCTCCACCCGCCCGCTCACGTCCACGGAGCGCTCGCGGCACCGCCGGAGGTAGTCGTTTTCCGGCATGTGGTGCCTCTCTGCCAGGAGGAGGGAGCCGATGGCTTCGTCGTGCTCGTCGTGGAAATGGGGCGGCGATAGAGACATTGCGGCGGTGGGTTGAGAATGAGAAGGGGGTGTTGGATCATGGCTGGGTCTTATGGGTTTGTTTTCGACATATTGAAGTGTTTTTTCTCTTTTCTTTTTCGCAGAAACGAGGAGTTGTCAAGCATAGACAAGACAGAGGAGAGAGAATGGAGTATGGAGAATGGAGAATGGAGAATGGTTGTATGTATTAATGGCAGTGACATATGCGGTGGAGTGGTGATTTATCTGTCCACATTCTTCCCTCTTCACACCTCTCCTTATTTCCTATTTCCTATTTATCAGAACTACTAGTATAAAATACTCATTCTTCATAATAATCAATCCCATTCACTTTAATATTTCATTTTTATAAAATAAAATTTTATAAAATTAATATAATATATCTATTTTAAAATATACTAAAATATAAAAACTTTAATCACTTTTAAATTATTGTTTAATTTTAACAAAATTTGATATATACATATAAAGTGATATAAACTTTCAATCTAACAATTAGATTTACAAAATTCACATTAAATATAAAGTTATTGAGCAGTGTAATATTTGGTAAAAGTTATACCGGTGTAATTATAACCCTTATATATATATATGTATGTATAGAAGAGACATCTTTTTATTCTAGGAGTAAATTTACCTAAACTTACTTCGTTCAATAACTCATGTTCTATATCAAATTTTAACGATCTAACCATTCAATTTAAAGTTCTTAATGCATAGATCAAATCTGTAAATTTTTAGAAATTTTGAAAATTATTTAATACTTTGTTTCATTAATTTGAATTAGGGGTGTTCATGGATCGATTTTTTCAAAAAACCGATCCAAATCGAACTGAACCGTTTTATAAAAGTGGATCGGTTAACCGATCCATTTTTTATAAAGTGGATCGGTTTGGTTTTTTTAAAATATGGATCGGTTTTTTTGAAATTGGATCGGTTCGGTGCGGTGCAGTTATCCACTTTTTTACTCATATATGGATCGGTTTTTCTAGAAAACCAAACCGAACCGAACCGATCCACTTTGTAAAAATGGATCAGATAAATGAACCGGTTTTATAAAGTGGTTCGGTTCGGATTTTTTTTCAAAATGGATCGGATTTTTCAATATGGATCGGATCGGTTATGAATCGGTTCAGATCAATTTGGATTTTTTGCACACCCCTAATTTGAATCAATGTATAAAATGATTTCATGATTATCCGTGAATTTGAATTAATGAAATGAAGTATCAAATAACTTTTAAATTTTATAAAAATTTTCAGATTTGATCTATGCATTAAGAACTTTAAATTGAACGGTTGGATCGTTGAAATTTGATATAGAACATGAGTTATTGAACAGAGTAAATCTATCTAGATAGACTTACTTCTAAAGTAAAATAATCCCTCCTCATCTATAGAGTTCAAACGACACCGATGTAACTTTTACTAAGTGTTACATCACTCAATAATTTTAAATTAAATGTGAATTTTGTAAATTCAACTGTTAGATTGAAAATTTTTTACTTTTAGATTATATATACAAAATTTTATATTAATCCAAGATGATTTGATACTTCATTCTTATAAAACAAAATTAACGTAATATATCTATTTCAAAATATACTAAAATATGATTACTTTGATTATCCTAAAGTTATTGTTCAATTTTAATAAAATTTGATATACACATATAAAGTGATAAATTTTCAATCTAACAGTTAGATTTACAAAATTTATATTTAATTTAAAGTTATTAAGCGGTGTAACACTTAATAAAAATTACATCGATATTGTTTGAACTCTCGTCATATATATATATATATATATAACTTTTTAGACGTGCTTTCATCGATAACCCCAATATATATCATTACGCAACGTTATACTTTCTGACCCATGAATACTTTCGAGAGAAAAATATGCAAACGTTTTTTACTTTCCGATGCAAAGGAAGAGGGGAGTTAAATTTGCGTTATCTTGGACGTAACTACAATAGGTACACGCATTTCATCATTGTAATACTTAACAGAACAACTGGATATTACAATCCACTTGGTAATAAGAGTTACGCTGTACAGGTAGGGGGTGGGCAGATGGACCCGGGTCCACGGACCGGTCCGTAAGCTCACGAATTTCGCGGATAACGGGCTCATTTTTTTCCAATCTGGATGATTATGTCTAATTTTTGAGCCCGGCCCGTTAAGTCTGTGGACTTGGCGGATTTAATCCACGAGCTCGCGAACTAGTTCGCGGATTTCATATTTAATATTTTTTAAATATTATGATTTTAATATTAAGTTGTGTATTTAATTTTTTAAAATTATTATGACATTAAAATTATGTTTAGTTGGTATATATTTGTCATTTAAATTATTTTTATGATATTTTGATGTTTTTTTTATTGAAAGTTTGGTACTATTATTTAAGTATTTGTAATTATTTTTATTTTAATATTTTAATATTTAGTATTTTAAACCATTTTAACTATTGATAAATTTTAGTATGATAAAATTTAGCTTATAAATAAAAATATTTTTTTTCTTCTAATTTTATGTATTTTTATTTTTAAAAATTTTATTTTTTAACCATTATTTAGGCCCGTAGACTGGTTCGTTATCCGCGGATTTTGGCGGGCCGGATACAGACTTAAAAAATAAGTTCATTTATTTTACGGACCGGACTTATCCAGCCCGTATAAAACATGAGTTTTACGAGTCGGGCCTTAAACGGGCCGGACCGATCTGTATACCCACCCCTATGTCCAGGGTCTCAAGAATAATAATGGGTGGTGTCTAAGCAGGATAGTATAGTATTGGTCACTGTACTTGTATTTTAAAAAAAATACACCTACTTATTTTAATACTCTTACAGATAACAACTTTAATTTTCAGCTTCATAAAATGTTTTCAAACTTTGTAAGATAGTTTTTCTATTCAACGGAATTTTGTTATTTAAGAATGAGTTTAAACAAACATACCGGGACTCGTTGAGTACTTATATATTTATATGTGCACTTTGTTTATTTGTAAAATCAATGAAAAATATTATTTAAAAATTTGTTACAAACATAATATTAAATTATTTAAATATAAGTTATAACGCATAATTAAACATTAAAACAAATTTTAATGAATATGTTGACATTGTGTCATTTTTATTATTAATAAGAGAGATAAAAGACATATAGATGAGATAAGAGGAAATTTTTTTTTTTTACTTTTTTCAAAATAATTTGAAATTATTATTTTTAAAAATTTCATAAATATTTGAATTTCAATTTCTTCATAATTTTTCTATCAAAACAAAATATTTCACTACAGAAAATTTTAAATTCATCAAAAATTTAGTTACTTTTGTTAAAATCTCCCGTCGAAACACACCATTGCTCTCTCTTCCAGTTTTTCTAACTTATGCAGTACTTTCCAGAGAGAAAATGATGCGAACATTTTTCACTTTCAAATGCAATAAAATAAAAGGAATTATGGAGTTGGATTAGTGCTGCGTTTGACATAATTGCAACAGAAACACACTTCATCATTGTAGTATTAAACCAAACAACTTATTAAATTCTCTTTTCTTTTTTTTTTTTTCTAAAAGAACATCATTAAATAATACTATATATGACAGGTTAAAATTTATGATGAAGGAATACGTAGCTTGTTAATGATTGTGTAGTTTAAAACAAATAATCAAAATTGAATAATAATTCATTTCTCATCACAAATATTGATTCGTGAACATGATCAACTCGATTATATTTTAAGAGATGTTGTAGTTATTTTGACTAACCCAATTATAATTGTAACAACCCGACGTTAAATAATTTTCAACCCGATTAACTATAATAATAATAATTATTATGCTAATATAATAAAAATTTTAGTTATTTATAATAAAATTTTAGCTATGAATCCTGTTACTGGTAGTAATTCTAATGTTAATTTTGGTTCAGATCCTGATACTGATTCTGGTTGTGATCTTGATTTTGACATTGGTGGGTGGTGATACTGATCATAGTGTTAGTTTTAGTGCTGGTTCCAGTTAAGCTTCCAATGAATATGAATCTGTTTTATAGCGAAGACTAAGCATTGGTGGACATTTCATGGCCTTCATTTAGTTAAAAGACCATGATGGGCTTAATAGAATGATTGTTAATCAGACTGAAATTCAATGGCTATTGTTCACCCACTCATACTTGGGGTTAACGTTTCATTGAATAAATTTGACAATATTGTGTAATATATAAAATGTCGTTAGATATAAATGTCGAACCATTTTTCCACCAACACTTGGTTGAAACTAAATTAATGTTTTTCATGCGAGTTTATAAGACAACACGGGAACGTGATTTCCGCATGACAAGGGCTGCCATATGGGCCCACTTAGTCTTGGCCATGCCATATATTTCAAGTCCAATTGCACCACACAGATTTCAACACTTCAATTTGCACGTTCCTCATATGTACTTCATCGTAGTTATCTCCTCTCATGTGTTTGCCACCTTGAGCTTGGACTCAATTGCAGGCTTGAAGCCCACAAGACAGTTGGATTCACATGGTCATAGTCCAAGAAGAGTGGCCTAAGAAAAACATGCGCCTGTCAAATAAGTGGGCACTATGGTCCTGTTGAAATTCCCAATACAAAATATATTCCACGTCAAGTACCATACATGTGTAAGACATAAAGACAAGAACTTAACATGCAACTTTGTATTGCAACTCTTGCTCGAAAACCTTTTATTTGTGAGGCGATGATAGTATTTTGTTTTATATTCACACTTCAGCAATTTGTGTAGACACTTTTGACACAATAAATTGTCTCAAGAATGATAGATTTCCTATTGCCCTCAATGTGATGGGAAAAATTTGCCGAGGTTCAAAGGAAGTGAATAGAAATCTTCACTTCTCTCATCCCGATTGAAGCTCCTGAAATTTTCCCACCAGTGTCTCCCACTGTCTAGGCGAGTTGAGCTGTGTCCATGCTTCAGTGTTAAATCCAAGAAGTAACCAACTGTAATTGCCACAGTTGCTGGGGATGTGAAAATCGCTTGCATTATATTGTTGAACTGCGAAAGGAGAGTTACAATGAACCATAGGAACCGAAGATAGCTATAGTAAAATAAAATTCATAAGATTAAGAGTCAAGGTGAAATTTTCAAGCAGTATATACAAACCGCAGTGGAGCCGGTATGGAGAGGGCCATGTCCGTTGAAATAATGTGGAACAGATAAACCCATGCAGAGAGAAACGCCAAGGATGAACATTGACCTGTAACTGTTTAGATTGCAGTATTGAAGACCACTAAGGCCAACAGATGCTGCTCATCATTGCAATCAAATTCACAAGTAGTTCAGGAACAAAACATGAAATTAGCATGATGCAAATGGAAATACAGTTTACATGACAAGTTTCATGGCCCACTTTTTTTTTTTTTTAGGTCATTAGCTTGTTAGTTCTCATAGCATGAACATACTCATAAAAGAATAAGGAATCATTTTCCCTAATTGACATCATTTTCTATGCATCAGACCACATAACGCATAAATCACACACATACCTACGAAGGCAAAGAGAACGCAGTAAATAGCTGCTATAATTGGCAAAGGTATTGAAGCAAGAAATGCTCCAAATTTTCCTGCAGAAAAGCACAAACCTTAATGCGTAAAGTAACAAATAACACATGTAAAGCTAGATAAGTTTGGTTTTTCATCACTTTGGCTATGTTTAAATCAATGGAAAGGGGTGTCACAAAGGAGAATGGAATGAAATGACATTGCCACCAGTGCTTGGACTGTTAATTTTCTTACCGTTCAATTCACTTCTTAAATAATGAAATTAAAACCCTTTTTCCTTTCCATTACAAAATATTCAAACAATGTTATGATATCCATTTCATTCTTTTCCAACTTTAGTTAAATATCCAAAATAAAGCCTTAGAATGAACAAATTCTCCAGTACACATAAAATATCACACATGTTTCGCTTTCACCATAACGTATGATGTCTACAAATTTGAAGAAATCGTTGCAACACCTAATATAGAGAAGAAAAGCATAAATCCAGCAGATATTTGAATGACTCTGCGACTTCCTACTCGTGTTAAAGCCAAGAGTCCTGCATTTTCACTTAATGTCAAGGAAATAAAAAAGAAAATCAGTTAGATAATGCTTTCAATATGCTAATATAGTAGCAAAAGAAAATTTTCCAAGTTTCAGACAGTTAATAGAAGGCAATTAGGCAGTCGGCGGATTTTCTTATGGGCTAACATCTTCAGAAAGCAAATTTACAGACTTTCATGTGACAATTGAAGCAAAGAAATTAATTGATTGATTTAATATTAGCAACTCATCTTATGCTTAGATTCAGGACAACTTAGATCCATAGACTAAGAATAATAGATAGTCAAGTGATTTTTAATGGTAACAAAATGTACACTGATGCAGTGGATCCAGCTATTGCGCCAAAAAGGCCATCCAAAAGAGTACCTATGCCCTGAAATCGTCAAACTTTGACTTATTATAAGTCTAATTTTTTAGAAGTAAACGCACTACAAAAGTAATGTCGAAGAATCCCATAGTACCAGCCAGCCAACACCACGACCAAGCACAGATGGTGGAATAGGGGTTGCTTTGGCTAATCTTGATGCTGCAATGAATGTCCCTGTTGACTGTTCTCAAAGAATGAAAAGAGAAAAACTTGTTTCAAAGTAAAGCCAAATAAAAAGAACTTTACTGGTATACCTTTTGATCAGAAATTGTCAAATTACAAGATAATTTTAAAAAGACTAAGGGCAGTTCACAGAATTTTCGCAAATCAAATTGTCATGTGCAAAATATTGCTAGCATTTGCCTTTGTGATTATTTTATTAAAAAATATTACAACAAACCTCTACAATTGCTACAAGAGAAGCAGCAACCGTAGCAAAAATATCACCAGTATCGAAAGAAGGGCGTCCCCATTGAAATGGAAGTGGAACTCTTATCCTGCATAAATGGAGTGAAACAAAATCTGATTGAAGAATGGAGTTTTAGATGACAATCAACTTGAATGAATTAACCATGAACAAATGACCAGGCATCCATATGTGAGTATATTTTATTAGAGGTGCTCAGAAAACATTCAGGTTCTTGTACATAGTTTTAAATGCTAGTTTAATGCTTTAAAAAGCCGTAGATATCATCATCTTTGACATCACAAAATATAATGTCTTTGAAAGCTCTACATGATTTTTAATAACACAAGCAAGCTACTTAAGACTGACCAAGGAGCAGCACTAATTAACCCAGATCGATCGGTACAACAACTCAATTTAGTGTTAGGCGATCTTTTTTTGTATGCACCAGCTGCAGTCAAAATTTCAGCAAATGCCCACGCAATTCCAATGGAGACTATGGTTGCAAATCGATCAGCTTTTCTTGATCTCATCCTTTCGGGAATGTACTGCAAGTCCGTTCATTTAACATAAGTAGAAATATCAATTTTAAATGTTGATTTATTTTGATATATATTAATATAATATACACAGATAACAAGGGTAAATCACTTCTCAGACTACCACGATTTTAATCTTCCTACTTAAATTTAGTTCAAGAGTCGGCCAAACCTAGTGAAATTATGCATATAGCAAAGTCAAGCAGAAGCGTATACATATTTTTTGGTCTAAATCATAAAGATCCACCACAGAAGACTATCTTATTCAAGCCAATCCAATAACATATAGAATATGGTGGGACTAGCACTTGGTAAATTTTGTTCCATAATTAAATCCTTGCTTAAGGAAAACCATACATGTACCACTTAAGGGAGTTATATGGTGGTTTGAGGGAAGACACAGAGAGCTGGAATGATAAGGAGGGAGTGGGTTGGAATTCCAACTAACATAACTCTCTAATTTGTAACATTTGTCCATAAAAAAAAAATCTACCAGTTGAACAAACGGTTGGTAAAAGCATATATATTTAATAGCAAGGAATTTGGATAATAAATTAAAAAAAAAATTAGAGCTTATACTTTTTGTTATCGATTAAACTAAAATGGTTGAGAGAGACGTGTAATGAAAGCAACATACCTGGGACAGGAGGACAAGGATAACAAATGCAGGGATACCAATTTCAACACAATCAACCAACTACAAGAATCAAAGCACAACCAAAGACCAAGTTTAATTTGTTAAACAACCGGTGAAAGAAACTTACGAGCAATATGCTTAAGAAAAGAGAAATGCATGTACTCTTTGAAATGCTAATAGAAAGAGCCCTAGGCCGGTGAGAGTGACGAGTGGAACCGCACTAAGCGGGCTGAGATACCTGCGACATCAGTATTAATATTAGTTAAATTTTATATTCTAAAGTATAGATGATTTCTTCAAAGAAGCAAAAATTGTAGTATGTATCTTCCGATAAATTTCTCTAGAAGTATTTATAGAGGAGAAAAATCATTAAGAAAAATAAGACAATTTTTTTCATAAATTAAAATTAAATTATACATTAACAAATTTTCAGAAACTTTCTTTTCATAACTTCTCTTGCATAAATTAATTTTAATTTAAAAAAAACTTTATTTCAATTTTATTCCAAGAAGCCATGATACTATAACTATGAAAAGAGAATCAAAAGTGAAGCATGTCCATTACCTGGCAAAAATCCTCCCAAATCCCAAAAAGCCAATAACGATTTGAAATCCAGATGCAACAATAATCGCCCCCTGCATGGCTCTCATGGATTGTATGAATCTCTAAAACAAATGCAGCCAAGAATAAATTGGTATTAGTGACATGCACAACACTTTTTCTAGTAATTATATAATGTGGACTGACTCAGTAATTAACCTGATGTGGATCTGCAATTACACTCATTCTAGTGGAAACAGCAACGGAAACAAAAGGAATGAGGAAAACATAGGATGCTCCGACGACCACAGGAAGACGTGTTCCAAACCACGTTTGCAGCAGTGTGTTAATTGCCGCAACAAAAAGTAGAGTCTGTATCATTTCAGCCTTCTCCACGTCCATGTTCTAACATTTGCATGATTCAAACATGAATAAATTAATAGGAATAAGGTATAAGAAAATGAAAGCAGCAAAAACTCTATTACATTGTCACCACCGACGATAGTGACAAGGATGGTGGAAGCCATGACAATGGTTCCAAGCGCAACCAGGCAATGCTGAAATCCAACAAGAATCCCTTCAGCTGCAATGCAATCAAACGAAAGTCAAAAAAGATTAGCACAGTGTTAACTAAGGTTAGATAAAGAAAGAAAGAAAAGGTTGTGAAATGTGATGTACGCCATGAGGGAGAGCTTGTAACACAGTAATCAACACCGGGAAGTTGTTCCTTCACGGGATGAGGTTCCAACTCATCCTTGTTTTCTCTTCTACCATCTTTCATTGTTTCTCTTGTTTGTTAATGTTTACTCTGTCTCTGTTTTCTCTTATATATATATATATATATAGTGGTGGTGCAATGCAGAGAATAAATAAAAGAAGCAATTTGTTTGTTACGAAATGAAATGATGAGTGAGGGTAGGCATAGACCGTGTGACTGTTTTTTCCTTTCTGGTATACACTTGCTTCGCGCACTTTTCAGACAAACCACGACATGGCCTATAGACTATATATGGATCAGATTTCTAGTATTGGCATTTGGCTCTGTAAGAACACTGCACACTGCACCTGTTGGTTATACTTATAGTAGCTTTTTTAATTTTTCAATAGTGCTAACTTTTATTCTTCTTACATATTTTAGTAAAGACGTTTTAACATGTTCAAATTTGTTGTTTGGTTCTTGGTCTGTGCCACACAACCACTTCATCATATTTCATAATATCAATGCGTGGAGACTATGAATTGAATATATATATGAAGTAATAAATAAATAAATAAATCAGCAGAAGTGAATATTATACAAACGCTGCATCATGGGCCACTTTTTACGAGGTTGTCGCAGTGATTATTGGTTTTTTGTGGTTGGTAATGATAGCTTAGCTTACAACCTCTTTTTTGGCTTTGCATCGTTTGAGTTATTGTTTGTGGTTGTTTGCTTTGTTTATGGAATGACTTGCTAATTTCAAATTTGTACAACTATGTTTCAGTGATCAAATGTTGGAATACAAAATAAGGAATAATATCATGCTACTTGTTCACATGAAAATGTTAAACCCCTCGCGTTATTTGTGGTGTATGGGTGAGAGAAAGAGATATAAAGAGGGAAAAAATAGGTATTACAAATGATGCAATAAAAAATCAAGAGAAATAAAAAGAAAAATATAATAAAAATACGATTATATGAGTGATGATAATAATAACTCTTATTGTTGACCATCTTTGCCTGGCGTCGGAATTTATTACAAAATAAAGCTATTCATAACTTGATTAAAACAGGGTTCAAATTCAATCCTCCTCTTTATTGTATTTCTTTGTTATGCAACGACTTTCAGGGTTTTGCTTACCCCGTAGCATTGTAAGGTAGTTTTAGTTTGGTCTCCGGTTGATCAAACAAAAAGGCTTCAATCGCCTTTTTTAAACAATGTTTCAAAAGTTGCTTCCATGTTCTTATGTATTAGTGATATAATTTTATAATGCATTTAAAATAAGTATATATATTTAAGATTTTAGTATCTGCATTAAAGTTTTCCATTAAAAGAAGAAATTGCAATTTGTAAGACATACATTAATTGTCAAATCACAAGACACACGCAGAAATTAATATGATACAAGGGTTTGAAGATAAAATCATGTGCATACTATTCTAATTCTCCATTTCATCTCATTTAATTACTTAATTTATCTCTATAGCCATACATTCATTAGTCACAGCTTATTGAATTGAAAGTTTTCTCTTCAGTTATAATATATAAGGTAAAAAAGAAGAAGAAAAATGAAAATAGAAAGACTGAAATTAACGGATTCCAATTTATGATGTAGTAGTGTAATTTTTGTACTTTGTATAGTATATTCCACTGTGCTGCTAATGCTATTTATAATCTATAAGGAATAACTTCTATACAAGGTTTTTTTTCCTATACAACTTACAAGGTATACCTTGCCGAAACTTAAATTGCTAGAAACATAATTTTGAAAAACTATACCTTGCTGGAACATGCATCACCACAAATAAATCAACTTGTTGAAACATAAATGCATTCATTAGCTTCTCTATTGATGACCGTTTATCATGAAGGAAAGAGAACAAGACTATAGATCATACATTTGTAACCGAAAAGTAGGGGAAAAAAGTGAATAAAAAAATTTGTTAAAAAAAAAAAAGAAGAAGAAAAACAGTGCATGCATTTAACAATGGCCATTGGCCAGCCTTGGGATCAGGCTAAAGGGGTTTCGGCCCAGGGTCCAGGACTGTGATGGGCTCAAAATATTTATATAATTTACAATAAAATATTTTATAATTATTTTTTATAAATAGATTGAAATTACTATCTTTAATTATGTGTCTTTGTTTTTACTATCTAACGATATATTTTTCTTAATTATATAATATATCGTTTCGCTCGATATGAATGTCCCCTTTTTTTTTTCCACCAACAGTTTGTTAGAGTTGAAAAACGGTGAAGTTAGAAGCTAATTTATTGATTAAAAAAATTTGGTAAATTTAACTAATAAAATAATTGATGAATGTAAATGACATAAAAAAACATGTTTAATAATTTAAAATAACAAGAAATTTTAAATAAATCAATAAAAATAAAAATATGAAAACAAAAAAAGTTAATAATTTATAGACTAAGCTATTTCAAGTAATTTATAAAAATAAACTAAAAACTATTAAAATAAACTTGCATACCAATTATAAAACAAGTTTATTTAGATTAAGAAAAATGCTTTAAGCCTATGTTCTGAAACATCCTCGAATATTTAATATATTGCCAAACACTATTTACTGTTGTTTCTCTTGGGAGTATTTGACAGCACGGGAGCGTGATTCCCGCGTGAGGGCTGCGAAATGGGCCCACTCACTCACTGTGGGCCATGGGGTTTTAAAATCAGTCATAACCATTTTAAAAGTGACGCGGTAGCCTGTACTGCAACAGAACGATCCCAGAACGGCCCTTGCTGCAAGCAGAACGGGTCGTACTGCAAGCAGTACGGCCCGTTCTGCTTGCGGGGAAGGGGGGTGTAGGGTGAGGGGAAGGAGGGTGCGGATAGGGAGTGTAAATTTAGGAATTTCATTTTTTTTAAGGGTAATTTAGATATTTTATATATATTTTTTTAAAAAGGGGGTGTGTTTATAGGAGAGTGGAGGTGTGTTTATCATCTGCCTCCTTTGAATTCTCGTCTTCATGCATCATTGTGCACTCACGGCCCAAGCAGGGTGGCCTAGTAAAACACGAGGCCCAATTGAAATAATCAAAGAAACTTGATGTTAGTCAGTATCGCTATATATAAATTGCAATTTTTGCTCGAATATCTTTCTTATACAATACATGCTTATATTTGTGTACATATTAGACAATAAATGATCAAAGGAAAGATAGATTAAGATTTCCTCTTGTTCATGTTAAAAATGGAAGTGCACTCAAAACGATGGGAAAAATCTGTTGAGGTTTAAAGGAAGTGAATAGAACTCTTCACTTCTAGTATCCTGATTGAAGGTCCTGAATTTTTCCCACCAGTGTCTCCCACTGTCTCGACGAGTTGAGCTGTCTCCACGACTCACTGTTAAATCCAACAAGTAAGCAACTATAATTGCCACAGTTGCTGGTGATGAGAAAATCACTTGCACTATATTGTTGAACTGCAAAAGGAGAGTTACAATGAACCATAAGAACCAAAGATAGCTGCAGTAAAATTAAATTCATAAGAATCAAGGTAACGTTTTCAGTTAGTATATACAAACCGCAGTGGTACGGGTATGGACAGGTCCATGTCCAGATAGCAACAGATATTCGTTGAAATACTGTGGAACAGATAAACCCATGAAGAGAGAGAAGCCGAGGATGAACATTGACCTAAAACTGTTTAGGTTGCAGAATTGAAGAAAACCAAGCCCTGCTGATACTGCTCATCATACAAGAAACATTTCAATCAAATTCAGGAACAAAACATGAAATTAGCAAGAACCAAATGGGAATACATTTTATATGTCGAGTTTCATGTCAATCACTTGCTTATTTTTGGTTTCTAGGTCATTAACTTTTTTGTTCTCACCAAATGCATATACACATAAAAATGGAAGAATTATTTTCCCTAACTGTCTGTCTATGAAACACATAAATCAGTAAATCACACACATACCTACGAAGGCAAAGAGAACGCAGTAAATAGCTGCTATAATTGGCAAAGGTATTGAAGCAAGAACTGCTCCAAATTTTCCTGCAAAGAAGCACAAACCTTCTTAGGTAAAAAAACCAGTTGAACAAAGTGATACATGTAAACCTGGATAAGACTGATTTTTCATCACTCAGGCAATGTTTGAATTGATGGAAGAGGATGAGACAAAGGAGACTGGAATGAAATGACATCAGCTGCAGCGCTTAGACTGTTCAAAAGGAGGTAGATTGGAATGGAATATATACTATCTCATTCCATCAAATACCTCTATTTTTCTTTCCCCTATTTGGAAGGTATAGGAAGAAATTAGTTTTTCTTAATTTTCTTACCATTATATTCATTTCTTAACTAATGAAATGAAAATTCTTTTCAATTCTATCATAAAATATTCCAACAATGTAACAATATCCATTTCATTCTATTCCACCTTTTGTTAGATATCCAAAATAAAGCCTAGAAATGAACAAATTTTCTAATACACATAAAGTACAACACATGTTTTTCTTTCACCAATACGTCTCGAGTGTTTACGAATATGAAGAAATTGTTGAAGCACCTAATATAGAGAAGAAAAGCATGAATACGGCGGATATTTGAATGACTCTGCGACTTCCTACTCTTGTTAAACCCAAGAGTCCTGCATTTTCACTTGATGTCAAGGAAATAAAAGGAAAGACAATTAGATAGTGCCTAGTATGATAGCAAAAGAAAATTTTCCAAGGTTTTTTAAGGCAATTAGGTAGCCAAGTTATTCATATATTGGGTCAGATTATTTTCAGACAGAAATGTTCCTAGATCAACCACTAGCTAAGAATAATATCTAGTCAGATGATTCTATAGGTAGCAAAAGGTACACTGATGCAGTTGATCCAGTTGCTGTGCCAAAAAAGCCATCCAAAAGAGTACCTATGCCCTGAAATCGTCAAACTTAAACATATAAGTCTAATTTTTTAAAAGCAAATGCAGGTACAAATGTAATGTCAAAGAATAGCATAGTACCAGCCAACCTACACCACGACTAAGCACAGATGGTGGAACAGGGGTAGCACTGCCAAATCTTGATGCTGCAATGAATGTCCCTGTTGACTGTCCTCAAAGAATAAAAAAGGACAAAACTTATTTCAAAGTACATCCAAATAAAAAGAAATTTAATCAAATACCTTTTAATTTGAAGTTGTCAAATTGCAAGATAATATAAAAGAACTGAGGGGGAAGTTCACAGAACTTTCACAACCCAAATGTATAGTCCACGAGTCATACTGATAAGGTACACATTGTAAATATATAAAATATTCTAGTATTAGCCTTTTTTATTATTTCATTAAAAAATATAACCATCCCCACAAGTTTCTAGACATATAGATATATATTAAAAAAAAAAGGCAAACCTCTACAATTGCAACAAGACAAGCAGCAACCATAGCAAAAGTATCACCAGCATTGAAAGAAGGACGTCCCCATTGAAATGGATATGGAACTCTTATCCTGCATAAATGAAGTGAAATCCAATTGAAGAATAGCACTTTAGATGACCATCCACATGAATGAATTAACCATCAGCAAATGACCAGGCATCCATGATTCATGTGTGCTTGTATTTTATAAGCGGTGCTGAGAACACATTCAGCAATCAGCACCTTGTACATAGTTGAAAATGCTAGCTGGTTGCATTAAAGCCTTGTATATTATCATCTATTATATCACTGAATATAACATATGGCTTTGAAAGCACTACGTGATAATAACACAGGCAAGCTACTTAAGACTGACCAAGGAGCGGCACTAATTAACCCAGATCGATCTGTACGACAACTCAATTGAGTTTTAGGCGATCTTTTATTGTATGCACCAGCTGCAGTCAAAATTTCAGCAAATACCCATGCAATTCCAATTGAGACTATGATTGCAAATCGATCTGGTGCTCTTGATTTCATCATTTGGGGAATGTACTGCAAGGTCAATGATTTAACATAAGTAGAAATATTAATTTAAAATGTTGATTTATTTTGATATATAATATACATATTTTGATCTAGATCACAAATATGCATATAGGCTAAATCAATGTCAAGTAGAGGCATATATATCTTTTGATCTAGATCACAAATATATTTCCTATGAGACAATCCTATCTAGCTAGCAACATCCACAACATGATGAGGCTAGCTCGGGTACTTTTTTTCCACAAACAAGGTTCAAACCCAAAACCTTGTGTAAAGAAAATGAAGCATGCGCCACTTGAACAAAGTATTGGTAGAAGCATATATATTTAACAGCAAAGAATTGGAGAGCATATTAAAAAAATTAGAGTTTACATTTTTTGCCTCACTATCTTGTTGCTGCACAAATATTTCAAAAGAATTCAACTAAAATGGAAGAGAGAGAGAGAGAGAGAGAGAGAGAGAGAACAGTAAAGAAAGTAACATACCTGGGACAGGATTACAAGGATAATCAATGCAGGGAGACCAATTTCAACACAATCTGCCAGCTGCAAAAATTAATGGACAACCAAAGATCAAGTTTGTTAAACAAGTAAAAATCAGATGAAAGAGATTAACGCCAATATGCATAAGAAAAGAGCAATGCATGTACTGTACTCTTGGAAATCCTAATATAAATAGTCCTAGGCCAGTAAGTGTGACAAGGGGGACCACACTAAGCGGGCAGAGAAACCTGCGATATCAGTAGTTAACATTAGCGAATTTTTCTACTCTAAAATATATCTGATTTCACCAAAGAAGCAAATTGGACAATAACAATCAAAAGAGATTCTCAAGTATGTAGTGTACCTGGCAAAAATCCTCCAAAAGCCAAAAAAGCCAATGATGATTTGAAATAACGATGCAACAATAAGTGCCCCTTGTATGGCTCTCATGGATTGCTTAAATCTCTGGAAAAAAAAAATTCAGAAAACACGAGTCAATTAACATCAGTATCATGCACTAAGACTTCAAAATACTAATGAAAATTACCTAATTTCTAAGTAAAGTCTAGTGAAACAGCATATCCATACTGTGCATTAATTATTTTCACCTAGCTCTAATTAGAGAGAGCTTTAGTACAACAATGTGGACAAAGTAATTAACCTGGTGTGGATCTGCAAAAAGACTCATTCGGGAGGAAAAAGCAATGGAAACAGCAGGGATGAGGAAAGCATAGGATGCCCCCACGACCACAGGAAGACGTGTTCCAAACCACGTTTGCAGCAGTGTGTTAATGGCAGCAACAAAAAGTAGAGTTTGTATCATTTCAGCCTTCTCCACCTATTTTTTTTTTTTTTTAAATGAACAAGTTTGGTTCAACTAAACAAAAAGGTATGCATGAAAACGAAAGTATTAAAAGAAGTCGAAAAATTTAATTACATTGCCACCACCGATCAAAGGGACGAGTAAGGTGGAAACAATGACAATGGTACCAAGCACAACGAGGTAATGCTGAAACCCAAGAATGATCCCTTCAGCTGCAACCAAACGAAAGGCATAAACTTTAGGGTGAGCAAAAAATGGGTGTTAACTAGTAAGGTTAATAAGAAAAAGGGGGTGGCAAGTGGCATTTACGCCATGAGGGTGAGCTGGTAACACAGTAATCAACGCCGGGAAGTTGTTCCTTCACGGGATGAGGTTGGAAGTCGTCAACTTTTCCTCCTCCACCTGCCATTGTTTGTTTGCGTTGTTTAGTATATGGATAATGGTGGTGTTTCTTATAGTGCGCAGGTTTGTGCTTCGTTTGTTACGAAATCATGAATGAGAGTAGGCGAAGACGTTGCGACTCTAGTCTAGCGAGTGCTTTTCCGTATACACTTGGCGCACTTTTCAACAACTGTCACACACCACTCTCATTATTTTCTTCGCTCAACTTATGGTAATAATGGCTGAGAACTCTAGCATTGGCAGTTTTAGTGTAACAAGATAGTACCATACCACCGCTTATAATAGGTTTTTTTTCTTTTCTTTTATTTTCAGTATTAACTTTTATTCTGTTTACGTATTTTAATAAATTGGTGAAATTCACCATTTCGTGATTGGCTTAAAATCTGCACCCCAAATGTAAGAAGCTGTGACATACAACAGCTGTGAAATTTATTGCTTCGTCTTTTTTTTTTTTTTTTTAGCTTATTCGACATTGAATGTATCATACAAATTATCTCCCATATGCTTCTTCCTTCTGTTTTGGGATTTTTCTGCAAATTCTCTATAGAGTGATTGTTTTGTAAAATAAAATAAAAATATTAATCTAACGGGCCAAGCAAGTTTCAGGTCATTAATCCAAACCATTAATTTACTTGATATTATATCTAATGGTATAGATTAAGTGGTGCATCTGGAGCACTTTTAACGAGATTGCCGCAGCGATGATGAGATCACCTTAATTGGTTTGTTGTGGTTGGTAATGTTAGCTTAGCTTACCACTACCATTACCTCTCTTTTTTTGGCTTTGCATCATTTCTATAATTGTCTGCAATTTGTTTTGTTTATGGAATGCCTTGCAAACTTGTACTACCATGTTCCAGGGTCAAATGTTGGAATACCAAACAAGAAAGATCATGTCAATTGTTCACCACCTTTCTATGGCGTCCAATTTTAAAAATAAGGCTATGCATAACTTGATTAAAAAAGGGTTCAATCGCCTTTTGTTAAAAGAATAATAATTCAAGAAATCAGTTCCATGCATGTTCTTACTTTTTAATATATTTATAAAGAATAAGAGTGTGTATTTAAGATTTTAGTATATGCATTAAAGTTTCCTTTAAATGAAGAAATTGCACTTTGTAAACATATATTACCTGTCTTTCTTGTCTAATCACCAAGGTTTCGAAAATCGAATTCAACAGACCATTCATTTTAATTGAAAACCAGTTCTTTAATCAGTTTAATTTAAAATATCATTTTACAACAAATTAGTGAAAAATTGGAATTAAACTGGTTTGAATTAGTAATTAATTTATTTAATTTTTAAATTTGAATTTAAAATATTTTAATAAAAATACATATTCAATAAAAATTATAAATTAAAATTACTTATTTTTAATACTTATTTCATAAATATAATTTAATCATTTATATTAATTT